CTGGAGGGCCTTCAAAACTTCCTACCACCAACTGATGAACTGTGGTATTTCACCCATGCTTGAATATGCAGTGAGCTGACGAGAACATAATTGAACAGTTGGATCTGCAGCGCTCCTGCTCACTGTGGAGGCAGGCATAAAGGCAGAAGGGACTTCTGAGCAGGAGCACAGCAGTTAGTCTCAAATAAAGAAGCCATGATGTGGAAGTTCCGGTGTTGGACTGGGGTGGACAAGGTCGGAAATCACACGACACCAGGTTATAGTCCAACAAGTTTAGTTGAAAACACAAGCTTTCAGAGCCTCACTCCTTCAGGTGTTAGTCAGAGAGTTTGTATCAGACACAGAATTTATAAGTAAAAGATCAAAGGGTCACACCATTGATGAGGATGCATTAAACAAACCTAAGATGCTGTGGAATCTTTAATCAGTTAGAAGGTTTTAATAGATTAATATGTATCTGTAAATCCCCAAATTCCTTTCAACTCAGTCCTGAGAGAACTAAGGGTTTTATCGGCGTAAAGAAGATATGACATTTTAGGTCAGACAATGCATGTTAGGTGTGAGGCCTTGTTTAGAATCTGTTTGTGTTTTGGTTTGGAGTCAGACTGGTTTTATTTCTAAAGCAGGAATTTATAAAATGCCACATTCACTGACTGTCTATAAATTGAATGCTTTGTGAACAAAATAGAATGTATCTGCAAATACAAAATCACCCCATAGATTCATGTGTGTGTGTGTGTGTGTGTGTGTGTGTGTGTGTGTGAGAGAATGTATAGTGTGGTGAGGTCACCAGTAGTGCAACATGAACCCAAGATCTTAGTTGGGGCCGTCCTCACGGGTACTGAACTTGGCTCTCAGCCTCTGCTCAGTGACTCCGCGTTGATGTGTATCCCAAAGTCCGCTTTGGAGGATGTTTACCCGAAGATCTGAGGCTGAATGTCTTTGACCACTGAAGTGAACCCCCACTGTCTGTCGACTGTTGCGCAGTGTCCATTCATTCGTGTTGTACGGTCTTGCCAATATACCATGCTCAATTCATCGATTGCCAGTCCTGACATGCCACAGCAAAAAACCATAATGACCTCCTCAGGAGACAGACACGGGATACGACCAATAGGGTACCCTTCGTCATCCAGTACTTCCCGGGATCGGAGAAACTACACTGTGTTCTTCGTAGCCTTCAACATATTACCGATGATGATGAGCATCTCGCCATGATCTTCCCTATAGCTCCACTACCCAGCCTTCAGGACAACATCGACCACAACAACATACAACCCTGTCATGGCAACCTCTGCAAGTCATGTCATATCATTGACATAGACACTACCATCACACATGGGAACACCACCCACCAGGTGCATGGCAGATATTCATGTGACTCGGCCAACATTGTCTATCTCATACACTGCAGGCCAGGATTCCCTGAGGCATGGTACATTGGTGAGACCATGCAGATGCTAAAACAACAAATGAATGGACACCACGTAACAATTGCCATTCAGCCTCGGATCTTCAAGTCCTCCAAGGCGGACTTCGGGATACATAGCAATGCGGAATGGCTGAGCAGAGGCTGAGAGCCAAGTTCGGTACCCACAAGGATGGCCTCAATTGGGATCTTGAGTTTTGTCGCACTACAGGTGACCCTACCACACTGTACAAACTCTCTCTCACACACACACACACATGCATATATACACACACTCACACACACACACACTCTTACTGTCTCTCTCACACACACAGACACATATAATCTATGGGGTGAATTTATACTTGCAGATACATTCTATTTTGTTCAAAAAGCCCACAATTTATATGTGGCATTTTATAAATTCCTACTTTAGAAATAAAACCAGTCTGACTCCAAACCATAACACAAACAGATTCTAAACAAGGCCTCACACCTAACACGCATTGAAAGGAATTTGGGGATTTACAGATACATATCAATCAATTAAAACATTCTAACTGATTAAAGATTTAACAGGATCTTAGGTTTGTTTAATGCATCCTCATCAATGGTGTGACCCTTTGATCTTTTACTTATAAATTCTGTGCCTGATATTACCTCTCTCAATAACAGCTGAAGGAGGAGTGAGGCTCTGAAAGCTTGTGTTTTCAAATAAACTTGTTGGACTATAACCTGGTGTTGTGTTATTTCTGACCCCAAATAAAGAAAATCCTGCTCAATGTAAGAGTAAAGGGCAAGAGAAAGAATTTATAAAATGAGTTCAGGAGAACCATAGTGGCTAGTCTGCTTTTATGCAACCAGGGTGGAGGTATAAAAACAGAGGTTGCTGGAAAAGCTCAGCAGGTCTGGCAGCATTGTGAAGAGAAATCAGAATCAATGTTTTGGGTCCGGTGACCCTTCCTCAGAACTGATGGTAACTAGGAAATTGTTGGCTTATGTGCAAAAGATAGAGTGGGGGGAGGGGGTAAGGAGTAAATGACAGGTAGGAATAGAGCCCAAAGACAGAGAAGAACAGTTGGACAGACAAAGGAGTGGATAACGATTTGCTGGGAGAGTGTTAATGGAGGCTGTTAGTGGTTAACAATAGATAGTGTGTATTGGCAGGCCATGCGATAACAAGCCTGATGGTGCTGGGTTGGAGGCTAGGTCATTGGAGAGTTCAGGCCATAAAATTATTGAACTCGGTACTGAGTTCGGAGGGCTGTAGGGTTCCCAAGTGGAAAATGAGGTATTGTTCTTGCAGCTTGCGCTGAGCTTTGCTGGAACACTGCAGCAAGCTTGAGACAGAGATTTTGGACAGGGAACAGAGTGGTGTGTTAAAGTGGCAGGCAACTGAAAGCTCAGGGTCGTCTTTATGGGCAGAACATAAATGTTCTGTGACGTGGTCATCCAGTCCATGCTTTGTTTCTCCAATGTAGAGAGACCACATTTTGAGCAGTGAATGCAGGAGACTAAAGTGTGTGAAGTGCAGGTAAAGTGCTGCTTTATCTGGAAGGTATGTTTGAGCCCTTGGATACTGAGGAGAGAGAAGGTAAATGGGCAGGTGTTACACCGACAGCAGTTGCAGAAGAAGGTGCCATGGGGCTTTGGGGGTATGTGCTGGGAGTGAAGAAAAAGTAGACCAGGATGTCCCAGAGGGAATGGTCCCTGCAGAAGGCGGACAGGGGAGGATAGGGGAATATATGTGTAGTGGTGTCATCTTTCTTCCAGGTGAAGCAGCACTTTACCTGCACTTCACACAATCTAGTTTACTGCATTCGCTACTCAGAATGTGGTCTCCTCTGCACTGGGGAAACAAAGAGTAGACTGGATGACTGCTTCACAGAACATCCACGTTCTGCCCACAAAAAAGACCCTGAGCTTCCAGTTGCCTGCTACTTTAAAACACCACCCTGTTCGCTGGCCAACATCTCTGTCTCAGGCTTCCTATAGTGTTCCAACGATGTTCAGGGTAAGCTGGAAGAACAACAACTCATTTTCTGCTTGGGGATCCTGCAGCCCTCTGGACTCAATATGGAGTTCAACAATTTTAGGGCCTGAACTCTCCAATGCCCTAGCCCCCAACCCAACACATCAGTCCTTGTTATCACATAGCCTGCCATTACATACTACCTGTTGTTAACCACTAACTGTCTCCATTAACAGCTATTCACTCTCCCAGCCAGATTGTTATCTACTCCTTCCTCTGTCCAACTGTCTTCTCTCTCTTTGGGCTCTATTCCTACCTATCATTTACTCCTTACTCCCTCCCCCACTCTACCTTCTGCATATAAACTGACATTTTGCTGGCTACCATCAGTTCCGAGGAAGGGTCACCAGACCCGAAATGTTAACTTTGATTTCTCTTCACAGATGCTGCCAGATCTGCTGAGTTTTTCCAGCAATTTCTGTTTTTGTTTCTGATTTACAACTTCTGCAGTTCTTTCCGTTTTGTTTTAGGAAGGGGGTATTGCTGGATCTGGGGTGGGGGTATGAAGTTGGGTAAGTAGCACTGTGGAAGAACACAAGGGAAAGGTGATCACTTAACGATAAGGCTCAGAACTGTAATGGAAAGGAGGATGAGCAAGTCAAATTGAACTTTTAAATTGGAAGTCAGATAATTTCAATGGGATAAGAGGGGATTTAATCAGTATAAAATGGAACTGACGACTGACAGGAAAACTTGTTGAACAAAGGGTGATCGTTGATTCAAGTAAAGACTCGATATACTTCAGAAAGAGTGGGGGGTGGGAGGGGAATCAAGGCCAGAGTTCCTTAAATGACAAAGGAGGTAGAAAATGTAAAGTAACAAAATAAAAGATGTATGATGCATGTCAGCTTAAATTTTTAAGCAAGAACAATGCCAAAAACAATACATTGAGAGAATAAGGTGGAAAGGAAAATAAAACTGATAAAGACAGAAAAAGTGAGTATAATGACTGTTAACATAAATGGAACATAAAAATCTTCTGCCAGCATGTAAATAGTAAAAGGATAGAAAGAGGTGGGTGAGGCCTCTTGCTGAAAAAGACAGTGATGTATCTTAAAAGTGCATAGCAAGGCTTGATGAGTGGTTGGTATCAGTATTTACTACAGAAGAAGATTCTGACAAAATATTGGTTGATATAGATATGGCAGTAGTTGATGGGGTGAAAATTGTGAGGCAGGTTGTATGAGAAAGATCAGATACAGTTAGAGTGGAAAAGTTGACTGATTTGGATCGCTTGGTTTTCAGGTTGCTGAGGCAAATCAGGTAGAGAGAGTGGAATGTGCGAGACCATCTCATTGTAATGTAGGCACGTGCAGATGTCCTTGTTATTTGGAGTTTGCAGTATATTACTGTGGTTTCCATATGGAATTGAAAAGGACAGATTAGAAAATTGGAACATGTTTGTATCAACAAAATAAAGAATTGGGAAATGAATAAGATTAGCATTTGCAAAGTGGAGAGCTCTCAGTGAACCAACAACCTCAGCAAAAACAGTACAGTTGGAATACAGATGCCTCTGTACAATGCTTTATTTCATTTGAGCCAAAATAAACCTCATTTATTGGTAAACCATATTTATTTATATTAAAGAGTACTTCTCTTCAGTCAGGAGGTATAGTCATTCATGAAGAAATTATTTGGAACAAACACCATTATGGTCACATGAGCTCAATAAGTTTGCCTCAATACTGTGAACTGTGATATGTTGTTATACAGAACAAAAGAAAGTACAAACATAAAAATCTATTCACTTAAAACAATGTAACCTAGGTTTTAACTGGACTTGCATGCAAATTCTGTGACAATATTAAGTTTACAGTATTCCTACGTTATCTTCAATTATTGTTATTAAGTCTAAATTAATAATAGAAATTAGTTGCTAAATAAATGAAGAGGCTCCAATGAATTTCATACATCACTTACAATTCAGATTAACAACTGAAATGCTTAATAACAGCTGAATTGTTTGTATTCATTTATCCATTATTGCAGATTTAATAATGAAACTTCCTAGTAAGGAGAATAAATAATCATCCCGGTATCATAGCAAAAACATTGCTCAAAAGAATAAATGAAGAAAAATGAAATAACAATTAACTAAACATTATCAAAAACTGCACTCATAATCAAATAATGTTTGCAGACATGTGTCCAGATCTAGTTCTGGAATATGAGGTATGTTTAAAGAAGCAGTATAAGTATTTGTTTACATTGTGTACTATGTCTAAAATAATCTCTAAACATCAAGCCAAAATATTTGCACAAGGCACATTATTATATTTCTATTCAACAAAATGATCACCTCCATGTTGTTGACCATGAATGTAATATTTTCTGATCTTTCTCATTTCAGCCATAATATTTTTTTCTATTGTTACTCCAATTATCTAATATTGCCCCAAACAAAAGGACCCCTAATTTGTTTTAACTTTAGCATGGACGGAATGAACGCTTTGACACTATGGAGTAGGAGGCATTCTGAGGAAAGAACATCCACAACAGAAAAGTTCCAGTCATTGTGGAGTTCATCTTTGCAATTGTGACTGTAAGTATAGGAGAGTTCCTACATAGTGTTATTACCTCAGAACAATTGAAGAAGGGATTGAAAAGGGAAGGGAATATCCAGTGGTTCCAAATCTTGGAACAAATGATACAGGAAGGACAGGTCATAGAGTCATACAACTCGGAAAAAGGTGTTAATACGGGGTTATCAGGAACTAGGAGTTAAATTTAAAAGCAGGACCTTGAGGGTAGTGATCTCGAAATTTTATCCAAATCATCTTGAAAATGCCTGTGGAACAAACTGATCAGCAAAATAAATTTTAAAAAAGGTTGTGGATGCTGGGAATTAGAAACAAAAGCAGAAATTGTTAGAGAAACTCAGCATCTGTGGAGAGAAAGCAGAGTTAAAGTTTTGGGTCTTGTGATCCTTCTTTGAAATTGATTGTAGCTAGGATAGGTTTGGCTTATATGCTGAAGTTGTGTGGGGATTGGGAGAAGGCCACAAAAATGACCCTGATCTTCCAGTTGCCTGCCATTTGAACACACCAACCTGTTCCCTGGCCAACATCTCTGACTCATGCTTGGTGCAGTGCTCCGATGAAGCTCAGCGCAAGCTGGAAGAACAACATCTCGTTTTTCACTTGGGGACCCTGCAGCCTTCAGAATTCAATAACAAGTTCAATAATTTTTGGGCCTGATCAGCCTCTTCCACATTGTTCTCCTGATCCCACACACCAGGCCTTTCATCACATGGGATACTATTATAACCAACTCATTGTCAGCTACTAATGGTCCCTAATAGCAGCTATTGATTCTCCCAGACTGACCATTACCTATTCCTTTATCTGTCCCATGCTATTCTCTTTCTATGGGCTCCATCTCCACCTATCATTTACTCCTCCCTCCTCTCCCCACCCCGTCTTAAGCATATATCAACGTTTTTCTAGCTACAGTCAGTTCTGAAGAAGGTTCACGGGACCTGAAATGTTAACTCTGGTTGCTTTCCACAAAGGTTGCCAGACTTGCTGAGTTTTTCCAGCAATTTCTGTTTTTGTAACAAAACAAAATAAATGGTTGAAGGACTGGCACGAGAATACAGGTTCCATTCTGTGGAGCAGAAATGAGTTATACAATGGGAGCAGGTTGATAGAAGGTCAAGAATTATTTTGGAAAGGACATTAAAAAATGCATTAAATTTAGATTGTAAAGACAGTGAAGTGGACAAAAACGTCTAGCCTCTGTATGTGTGCTGTTAAATGCAAAAACCTAGAAGATGTCAGTGATTCTCCTCTCCTTTATGTAGAGTTGAAGTCCCTATGTATGGTAAACTTCAAAAAACATTGAGTTTATATGAACTTTCTCAACACTAAAATATTAAGCAGCAACAAGGGTAGATGGCACACTAGGGAGCATACTTTTAAGGTGAGAGGAGAAAGAATTGAAATAGTTGTGAGGGGCAGTTGTGCGTGTGTGGGATGAACTTCGTGAGGAACTGGTGAATGTGGGCATGCTTATAACATTTAAAAGTCACTCAGATAAGTACATGAACAGGAAATGTTTGGAGACATATGGGCCAGGAGCAGGCAGGTGGGACTAGTTTAGTTTGGGATTATGGTTGGCCTGGACTGGTTGGACCGAAGGGTTTGTTTCCATGCTGTATGACTCAATGACCTCTGCAACAGGCTCCCAACATTACAACGTTCATTTTTTATTACAATAAAAAAACCCATCTTTCTTAAAAAAAACTTATTTAAGATATTTCAGCTTCTAGTGAGTATAGACCAATCTTCATTTTGCCCTCTGTAAATTTTAAATGTAGAAATAATTAGAACATCTTACTTCTGAGTTTACTGTTTGTGAGAAATCTTCACAGGTTGCTAATCTTGCTTGATGGCATCACTATTGTTTGTTACCTGCAGATTCCTTGAGTTGTCATTTTCAAATTGAAGGTGACAGCCAGATGTGAGTTTAATGTCTTAGAGATGACTAGATTATTGTATGTATCTTCCTTTGAGATCAGTGCGGGATGCGTGTTGTCACATTGTTAGTGACTGCAAATTTCAAATCAGGAGTGCTCAAGAAAAAATAAAAAGTGAAGTAAAAATTGTCTAAAGAGGAAAACAAGAGATTGGCGCAATATATGTTCCTTTTTTGTAGTGCACAGCCTTTTTAAGAGCACAGGCCCTTCAAATTATTATGCATTCACAATGAATAAAAGAGGCTGATTCATATACAGCTTGTGTGGGTACATTTACTTTGCTGCAATGACAGTGTGGCTGTGCAATTTAGGGGAAATGTCAGATAAAAACATACTCTAGGTCACAAACAGTATAGAAATAGCTCTGATACAGAAAAAAGGAAAGCAAAAGAGCTGTTAAGAGTGAAAGAGAAGTGGTGAAAAATGGTGAGTAGAACAATTAAGATTTTGAAAAAAACAATATTGGGTCAATATTGTGGGAACGTTTCCTGAAAGAAGAACCTAAAGAACAAGCATAAGGGTTGGAAGAAACAAATTCAAGCACAATCCAGTTTATAGGCTGTAATATAGTGATTTTGACTGAGGCCTTGCAATGACTGAGACGTAGTTACAAGCTGGGTGTAACTAGGAGATAAATAATGCACGTAACAATAACTTTAAAAGGACAGTGAACTAGTAGAAGGTGGAGGAGCAGCAATATTAATAAAGGAATCATGAGAAAGAACATGAGAAGGAAGAAGTGGTGGAAACTCTTCTGGGTAGATTTGGGATGTGGAAGTCTTGTGCAGTAGGTATCTTCTCTGCCTCACAGCCAAATCTCCATGTTTCAGTGCCACTCTGGTGTTTGATGACTACTTAAGATAAATTTGTAATATGGCCAAACAGGCTAATATCAATCTGTAAGTATTTCTAATGCTTCTATGGCAGGCAGAAAGAGCAGAAAAGTCTCCTGGTCACTCATGCTTGATGAAGAGTTACACCACTCAAGCTATAGCCTCTAGCAATAGAAAAACCTAGAGATTGTAACGGATATAAACACGTTTTGTTTGCCCATGTATCACCAGGTGTGGGAATTATAAAAAAAAAGATTTGTAATTAAAAAAAGCTGCAAGTCTTAGTGTGAGTTACCAAAATATCCCCCGGAACATAAATATACTGGAGCTGAGTAATGAAATGATGAGTCCAGATTCTATAGACCAGGCTTGAATTTCCTTTTACATGGAAGATGCAAGTGAGATGCTTAAAATCATTAAACAATTTGACAATGTAGACGGAGAGAAATTGCTTATTGGTGGGAGAGTCAAGAATTAAGAGGCATAAGTCTGAAATTAGACCAATGTAGACCTCTATGGTGATGTTATGCATTCTATGGTGAGACACTCACTTCTTGACCCCCCAGAACTTGTTTACCATGTATAAAGTACAAGAAGTATTCAGCAATATTCTCCACTTGCTTGGATGAGTGCAGTTCCAACATTGCTGAAGAAGCTTAGCATCATCACATGAGTCACTGCAGCAAATCACCAAGCTTCCTTTGTCATCACCTTCTAAACCGGCAAACTTAATGGTCTCGACAAGGTGGATGTGGAAAGGATCTTTCATCTTGTGGGTCAGTCTTAAAATAGGGGGCATTGTTTAACAGTATATTAGAACAGTGATGACGAGAAGTTTTTTTTTCTTTCTCAGCGACTTTGGAGCTCTCTGCCTCAGAAGATGGAAGGTCATTGAATATTTTTAAAACAGGATCAAAGGTTATCCTGGGTAGATGGGAATGTACACTTTGAAACTCAAACAAATCAGGTACGATCATATTGAATGGCGGGACAGGTTTGAGTGACATACTTCTGTTCTTTGCATGGCCCCTCCGTGTCTCACATGTTCCTGACTTAGAACCACGGGTCTAAATCCTAGGCAACTGTCTCAGCTAGCACTGTGGATGTACCTTCATCACATGGACTGCTGCTGTTCAAGAAGATGTATAACTACCTTGCCAAGGAGAATTAACAGTGGGCAATAAATGTCAGTGGACTTCATAAATGACTAAAAGAAAAGAACATTGAAACCTTCAACCCTACTCACAAGAAGCTCCTGAGGCTAGAAAATTAAAAATGTATAAACTGAAAATGATGGATTTTAGTTGAGCATGAGAAATAAGGAGTGTCAGAGGTGGAGTTAAAATTAATATCAACCATGATTTAATTGAATGCTGGACTGAATAGCATTTATGTTCCAAATTTCTAACCTGATGACATATTTCTAATCTTATACCAACAGTAGGATTTAGGCCCAAAATTGGTTGTTATGGAGCCAAGGGACAAGCATTGACTGAAGTAATTTTATTTCTCTGGTGCTGATGTTTACGTCAGTGTCTTTAGCAAAATTGTACTGTCAGGAGGAACCTATCCAATGAACAGAGGCAATGAGACGTAGGATAGTAAAAGAAAAATGCAACAAACTGTTTGGCTAAGACCTTAGAAAAAGTCCAGTCCAGTGAATTTTTTTTTAAACATTGTGTAACATATCAAATGGGGCTGCATGCTTGGGATTTGAGAATTTGACTGTGGTCGTGGATTATCTGTGTTGCATTTCTCAACAAACTTACCATACAGTGAACACTGTGGCATAAACTGAAAAGAAACGATGAATGTCCAGTGCTCCATTGCTTCAGATTTATCACCAAAACTGGGTCAAATTTTCTCATTTTTAATAGCCACACAATTGACTTCTGTGGTCGTTTCATTTGTATTAAGATGATAGCGATGGTTGCAAACACCTTTGAATCTGTAATAGAGCAATCAGCAACTGTCATAAAGGAATAGACATTCACTGTAATTTTCCTATCACACTTCAATTGTAGATACAATCACTTTATTCCTAACATTAATTTAAAAAAAAAACATTTGGTTCACTAATGTCCTTTAGGGAAGGAAACTGCCATCCTTACCTGGTCTGGCCTACATGTGACTCCAGACCCACAGCAATGTGGTTGACTCATAACAGCCCTGTGGGAAACTAGGGATGGGCAATAAATGCTGCCTGGCCAATGACGCCCTCATCCCATGAATGAATAAAGAAAAAAATTTAATTCAAAAATGTTCAGTATCATTCTGTACGAAAATGAAATGTGCTAATGCTCTAATACATGATCATACCAGGGAAGTGGTAGGCCATGCACAAAAATGACATTTTCACAGAAAATTAAGTAATCATATGCTGAGTCACTCTGATTTTGTTCCTGTATGAAGGAATTTCAGTGCTGAAACACGTTAGCGAACGCCCTAAAAGCTTAATTTTTACTAAATCCACTCAGTCCTAATGATCTGGGCACATTCAGTTTTTCAGCAATATTTTCATGATTTATTTTGAATAGAATGAATAGAATATCCTTTACTGTCACATGTACTCAAGTACAGACATACAGGATTACAGTGAAAAGTTTTACAATGTCACGTCTTATGGCACCATCTTAAATGCAAGTATCTAGGTAGAAATCTTAGGTACAAAAAGAGGAATAAAAAAGAAAAGTAGTTACATTACTTTGCAGAAATAAGACATAGTTAAAAGGATAGTCACTACAGTCAGAGAAACAAATTACACATAAACATTATATTGCAGTAGCTGAGCACAGGGGCTTCCCCATATGGTCTGACTGCTTGCACCAGACCCCAGTCCAACAGCTCTGCTCAAAGCCTCCAGTCCACTCTGCACTGACTCTCAACTGCTCCAATGTAAGTTTTCTCCATGACTCAATTCTATGTGCCGGCCTCTGCCCGGGACTGATTCCCCTTGCTGGCCTCCACTCTGGGACTGCTTCTCCTCACTGGCCTCTGCCTGGGACATGATTCCCCTCGCTGGCGTCCACCCAAGGCTGTTTCCCCTCCCTGGTCTCCACTCCAGGACTGCTTCCTCTCGCATGAGTAAAATGTAATTTACATTTACATACTGCCTTTAACAAAAGTTCTACAGTGATTTGGATCAATTGGGCTACCAAGGGAATACACAACGCGATAGGTTGGGAGGGAAGATGGGGTTCAGACTTTGCGCTTGTGGAACCTACATTTCTCAGTCAAGTTCAGGATTATATGAACATTCAACTCAAATGAGAGAAAATCCAATCACAAACCTTCTACATTCGATACTAAATGGGCAGTCCGAGTAGAAAAATGGAAAAAATCAGGTTTGTGTTACGAAGATGTGTTTTCAAAAATACTAATCTGTAATAAAATTGACTGCATGTATAATTTTTTTGTAAAGAATACTTAGCAAAGCAAAAGACACTAACTACAGCAACAGCAATGTAGCATTTTCAAGTAATAAGCTGCTTGGATGGAGGTGCCAGTTTGCACACTTTAAAAAATGAGATCACATGACCCAGTTTGCACTGGAAAAAACATATTGGATTTGATTACAGAGAGTAAGAGTGATAACTCGCCTGGAATAACATCCTTTGCCTCTCTCTCCTTTATCTGAAACCCTCCCTCATCAAATTTTGCAAGTTTCAATCTCATTGGAAGATCTCATCATCACAAGTGGAGGATTCCTAAAAGGAGATGACTTCATTGCTGTGGCCTGCACCAGAAGCACTAAATTATCTCAAGCTCTACAATATACATCCTGTTCTCTACAACACTTCACTCATCTATTATTCCTTGCTTACTGCTGTAAATTGACACTTTGTTCTATTGTTGATTCTAATTAATATTCACAACCTTATATACAAATCTATCCACAGCTTCTCCTCACCATATCATTGCAATCTTCTCCAAACCAATATATCCTTCTCTGGTTATCTAATCTTGACCTGTACTCCATCCCCCTTGCCCTGACACTCTGTCTCCAAATACCCTATCTCTTTGAATCTCTCCCTATATGTAGAAGACATTGACTTATCTAGTCTTTTCACCACATTATCATGAACAATGAATGCTGTTCTTTGGTTTCTGTGAAGCACCGAGGGAAATGTTCAACACTAAAGCATTGCATCATCATTTAGGACAGAAAGTTTAAAAAATTGAATCATACAGACTGTGTAATTTTACCTTTTCATTCTCTGCATCTGGTCAATGGTGTTTGGGAGAGGGAAATTGTTTGTTTCTGGCAGTAACAAGATCAGAATTGCTGAAAGTATGGTCAAACTTCCCATCAGAATATAAGGCAGAAACTCATAATAAACTCCTGTGAAAATATAGAAGATACATTGAAAGGTTAATTCCAATTCACCCACATAGATAGCACCAAAGGCGGCTCATATAGCATATAGTCAACAATGTAAAGACAATATCTCTTTATTGTTGGGTATTTTTGATTGTGGACAGAAACAGGAAAAAGACTGTCTTAAAAACCAAAGATCGTGGAAACAATTCCTACACATTTTTTAAAGTAGGCTCTCATCACTTATTGTTAGTGCTGCTGTTTGAACAGTGGGGAAAGTTAGTATAAATGAGCTCGGGACAAGGGGATGTGCACAAAGGGAAATTTGGCTGGCAACATGTTACTGATTTGTCTGTAGAATGGTGACCAGTTATCTATGACAAACGCTTTCTGTCTGCCGCAAAATATGTTTTTGGCTCTCAGGCAGCTAAACAGTTTACGTGTGTGAATGTACACTCGGAAGCAATTGGAGCTCCGCAAAGAAAGAACCTGTCCTTTGTGTGCAGTAAAAACCACTTTCATCCTGAATAAAGCCAAGTTATTTCCCCTCACCTATTGCCGTAACCTGTGGCTTTACCCAATAAGTCAGGGATTTAATAGAATGAACCAGTCACTCTGTTCCTTCTGCAAGCAAGTGAAAGCAACTAGAAAAGGAAGATCAAGGAACAGCAAGATCTGACAAGCCAAAAGGAACATCTCAGCAAACCCACTGGATAATTAAACTGCATTCCCAGTCTTTCCTATCACTGATGACATCCATGTTATTTTTTTGTGACTGTATATGTGTGTAGGGGTGTTTTATAAAGGGAAAATCCTGTCCCGCAGGCCCGACCAGTCCCCCTCCACTGACACCCTCATCCGCTTAGCCGAACTCGTCCTCACCCTCAACAACTTC